GATTCCAATTCTAACCAAGATGGCTAAGAATGTACATAAATGAACGTTCTTCTGCAAAAAGGAGTAAATTTATGCAAAAACTAAGTCAAATACGTGCGTTATAAAGGATGGTTCGTAACAATTGTATTAGTAAAGCGCTCTGGATAATTGGATCACATTTTCCAATAAGGAACCACTATTTCTAGCCCATTTTAGAAACAACATATATGTCATTGGTTTCGCTATGCAGATATGTGCTTTTACGAGAGAGCCACTGATAGTGGTTCCTTATTGCAAAATGTAATCCAATTGAGATCATAGGTTGGCTGCATTTCTGGGCCATAACTTTGTTCGCGGAGGCATCGGTGAAGGCCTGAAGGATTTTCGGAGTTTCAAATCCGTCTATACTCTCGCTATACAGGTACTCTACCGGGGACACCCTGTACAATCAGGAGATGGAGAATTCCAATTTGAAGGGCGCTCTGACAACAGCGCCTTCCTCGCGGTTGGGTTGCATGCAGTGGATGTTGCGCTGCGGACGTGGCGTCGCCTATTTTCGTTTTTGATGGATGTTTCAGAAAAGCGGTCTCGGGAACATGTAAAACTCCGGTGAAATCCGAGACTGGACGGCACGCACTCTGCCTGACAATCTCGGAACCGCTCGAGAGGGAACGACGACACTCAGACGCTGATCACGCGAGCCGCTCCACGAAAATAAATCAAACATACTTAAGCTCAGCCTTCCGAAAGCGTTTCTTCAGAGTTTACCAAATCCGTCTCAGTCGGAGGGGTTTACAAGCGACGAATATTTCCCATCACACGACCCCGATTAGAGTACCTTCATAGACAGAGTATGGTCATTTCCGTCCTGGTTTTTCATTGGTCTTGTGAAAATAGGCTGACACGATGTTCTTACGGCTGTAAATAAACAAACAAGATGGCTGTTATCAGCGAACAAGTTTGAGGTATTGCACATCTTACATCCTCCTGTGATAGAGGCGAAAAGAGATTTAATAGGGTGTTCATGTGTAGTTATGCCACAACGAAAAAAGAAAACTCACTTAGGTCAAGCAGAAACCCGCTTTCATTCAGCTATTTTATTCTTGATTCAAAATAAAATCTTCTCAACGGCATACTCAAGAATGATCCTGCCTAAATCAAGTCCCATTTTCCTCTAATGAGATTCAAAAATTATGCTAAACGTTTTTAAATACGGATGCTAGGGCTAAGTGAGTTTTCTAGATTACCGCTATCTTTTTGTAACCTATATACTTGATTTTTTGCAAGGAAAGCTCTGTACCCTTAAAGGAAGCTTGTCATTCTTGATACGTTGGAGCGCCTTCAATCTCGTATGATACTGTGCAACACCTATGTCGCGAACACTGAAAAAAATAATCGGTGGGATTTACCAGAGTTTGGGTGTTATTTACCATACTGTCTACTTGATTTTTTACACAGTGAAGCTGCAGCATAGTTACCAATATACCGGTATGGTAAATAAAACGATACGGCTGACACTATGCGACACAGTGCCAGTGTGGCGTTCCCGACTGACTAGTATGGTAATTTCAAGCATCCAGATGCTGCGACAAACCTCGTAGATTCTAAAATCCACTCATCTTATATTATTAAATGCTTTTGATGAAAGTCGTGGATATTTTACTTACATCTTACTT